CTGGTTTTTAGCTTGCAGACAGTAGCTTATAGCAGTTTTTGGCCTATATAATCATGACCCAATACTTTATGATAAGTCTCTTTATAAATATACAAAGATGATAATAAAAATAATAAGGCTAGTGGTGTAGCTCAGTGGTAGAGGCCTTTCCTAGTAAATCCCTGGATTCAATCTCCATCACCACAACAATCACACACACAATCACACGCACGCACATTACTTCCTAGTAGAAATATAAGCACTGTGATAATGGATACTGTAGTAGTCAGGGGAGTGAAATTTCAGAAAGTTCATGAAGAGGAAACCACAGGTTTCTAGTTGAAGGAGTGGTTTGTCATTGACTTTATCTCTAATAGAGCTCCTCATATTTAAAAATATAATTGAAAGGATAGCAGCTTAATTCTTTGCACACAAAAATTATGTGTTGCTGACAGCTAATTTTCTAAGCTGAGATCAGGATGCCATGCAATTAACTTCCTAAAGGAGTTAGATGGACAATTATGCAATATCTTTGGTAATGATAAAATGTTAGCTCTCTAAATTAAATTCTGAGGAAGTAAACTGCTATGACAAAGATGAAACTGATCATTATTTTTAAACGTGTTTCAATTATATTATAAAAATAATGAATGACCTTTAGCATATTCAGTATTTTTAACAATTTTATTTAAAAAGCAAAAAGAATCTGGGGTAATTGAAGATGGATTTCTCATTTTAAAATTAATTAATAATTATTTAGATTTTTACCTTACTATTCTCAAATTGTTATATTCAGGTGACTATATATGGTTCAGGTTAAATATTTATCTAAGAATCTCTGGATGTTTTCCTCTATTTTCTACACAAAATCTTAGGCTATTATTTTAGGTACAAATGAAATAGTTATGTACAGATCTTTTTCCTAATGACCAAAGCAAATCGGCTTCAGATAAAGTAGTCTTTTTTTTCATCTTTTTAAAGAATCCATGTCTTAAAAATAATTTCCTTGTTCTTCTGGGCATATGCTCTATCCCTAGAAAAGAAACAGAAAAAAGTAAAACATCTAAGGAACAGCTGGAAGCAAAGCCATAGGGCACTGGGATCTCAACACAATCACCAGTAACTTCCTAATGATGCAGAAAGTTCTTCCTACCACTGATTTAAACTGTGGCTGCGATGCTTGGCACAATCATCTAAAAGCTTGGTGGACACATTTGATATTTAACATGGAGTGTCAAAAGGCTGTCTCATTGTTAGCATCATGTTTAATGGAGGCAGAAAAAAAATGCAACTTACTTAGAAAGTAATTTCATGCTATTCCATTTTTTTTAAAAAAGTATAACCCTTTCATTGTCGATAACTTACCACAAGGGGTTATTTCCCTCTATTTAGCCTACCCCTACCAACATTTGTGGGAAAATAAATTATATTGCCCAAGCAGCATGATTCAAGCAGTCTTATAAAAATTTCAATAAGTATCACTAAATAAGAAAAAAGAGAGCCACCGAGCCTCACTGAGAGAGGAAGGCATGTGGGACAATCTGCCAAGATCATATGCTTACTGTGCCATAATTTTTACTCAGCAGGCTCCTTTCCACATCCCTCCTCAGACCAATGTGTCAAGAAATGACTTTGGGGTCATTCACATGTGGTTGAAACTATGAATCATTTATCTGGAAATGCCAAATTTTCTGCAGAGAAAAGCATTTGAAAAAATGTCTAAGAATATTGAAAAGTGTGCAATGTTATTTTCTGCCCTAAGGGATACTACGTCTTTTGGAAACTGGTATTTAGAAATTAATCATTTGTAATATTTTAGGTTCTTAATCCAAAGTATAGTGTCAACTATAATATTTCATATGCATCTAAAGTCAAATAAGACTATCAAACGAACAGTTCTATGTTTGTCTCTTAAAATGCTGTGAAATAAAATATTTTACTGTGACAAAGTATCATGAGGCCTTTGGATAAGTCACTAAAGTAAATTTTTTTTCTGTATGTTAAGACATCTTAAGTTTAAGCACTCCTGATGTTGGAATAAAGAAAACCCTTAATTAACAATCCTGTGACTTCTTTTTTTCTCTCTTCTCATCCTATTTATAATAGCTGACTCATTAAAAGAAAGCAACTTTAATAAACAAACCTCTTAATTGTTTAGATAGTTTAGTATTCTTACATCCCCCTGAAAGATTCACACTTCCAAGTGCTAGCCATTAATTAGTGAAAGCAGTTTGTAAAAAGTAAAAACTTTGTGAAACACCTTCAGTTCTTAAAAGAAAATACATGCCAATTGGTTGTGTTTGTTTTAGTATGGCTACATGCTCTGGTTAAGAATATACTAAAAGATCTTAAAATCACTGCTTTGACATTAAAAAGATATTTTAAAAGACTATAAATTTCTTTAAGTGGGAAAAATATTTTATTTGAACCAAGAGTTCAACAGCTTTAAAAAAAAAAAAAAAGTTCCAGAACTTCTGACTTAGGATTGAATAACATTGAAAATTAAAGTTTGTGTCAATGTGCTAAATAAATATTTCCATTTACCAAAAAAATGTACAAAACATAAATTACAAAGTTTTTAGAAGGGAAAATATTGATCTTCGGTCCATCTACCTTTGGTTCAATGTTTACCAAACTTGTCTAGTTCTAAGAATCTCAAGGATTCCCCATCAAAACAGTGATTCCCAGAAGTAATTTCAACATATGTTTAGGAATAATTGATCTCCTGTTTGCATTAGAGGAGTGTTTTTCAAATTTAAATTACATATGAATAATATTCATAGCATTTGGGGATCTTGTTAAAATGCAGATTTAAATTTATTTTCCAAAAGCTCCTGAGTGATGCTAATAACACTGTTCTGCAAGCCATCTCCTGAGTTGCAAAGCTTTTGAAAAGTATGCAAGCTCGCAGCACAGGATCCCTCTCTTCTAGCAGGTCCTCAATAAATGTTTATTGCTCAATCTGAATCTAGCTAGGTGCATTGGTATTAAGCATCCCACTTTCTTTCCTTATTTTTATCCTTTGTCCTAACTCTGTTCTGCACATAGAAACTATTTTATTTTATCCTAGTAAATTGAGCACTAGTCTTTGTTCTGTGGAGTTTTGTCTTTTCTGTTGAGTATCTTTATAAAAGTCATCATGGTCTTAATCATCTTCTTGGCAGTATATATTTCATGTTTCAGGTTATTAGTTGCTCCAATCACAATTATAAATACCTTTTTAAGATGATGTCTCTCCCTTATACTTACCTTGGCCATAAACTTAATTCTAAATACTTCTAAGAGAACCAAGAAATTATTAACTAACATTGTACTTTAAAAAGCACAAAGGAGGAAGAAATGGATGTGTGTACTTTTTATTTTCTTGGAAAAGAGAATTTAATTATTTAATGTATTTATTGAGAAAAGTACCGATCCCAAATCTAATGCTAAACTGGTCTTAATCCACCCAATTATTTTTTAAACTTCCAACATTAACTATGGAATGAAGCTAATACTTTCAATTAATTTTCTTGAGAGTAAGTAAAAAACTAACTTTACCATGATGATGTGGAATGTAGAAAGTGTTGTGCATGAAAGATTGTAGTGAGGAAAAAGATGAAGATCTGGTGGAACTTTGATAGAGACACAAAGAACACAGAGACTGAGAACAAGGACAGTCTGCCATGCACACTTCACAAGAGAACACTCTAAAGATTTTGGAAAATCTATAAATAGCTAGGTTGCTTTCTTTCCATCTCAGCTGGCCAAAGGCAAAATGGCTTCTTTGCTATGGCCCAATTAATCAGCAGCTCACCCCAAAAAAGTAAAAAGACAGTCACTGTTTCAAATTGTCCCCAGCTTTTCTTTCTTCCTTTACTTCACTTTCTATGATGTAAATCAGGGATTTTAGTAGGCTAAATGAATTTATCACAAATTATATTAACTATTTAAGTAAAATTGTGTGCTAAGAACTAACCCTTATATTTTTTGATTATTCTTTGAAAATGAGTGTTTCATTTGAAGTTTCCAATCATACTTATTACAGGGAGCCTCAGGTATTAAAAGACTGTCACAGAGAAGAGAGCAGACCTTTCCTTTTTGCTACAGAAAGCCAAAAATTATATTAACAGGCAACAATCACAAGATCAACACTTTTGCCTAACAAGATGAAGAACCTTCCTACAATCAGAATTCTTGGTCTTCCATGTAAGTTCAGGGGTTGTGTGATTCAGACATGGGACAAATAGCACTCATCATATTTCTTTTTAAATTGATTGGTCTGTCTGGACCTCTTGAGGCCAGGAACTATTTCTTATTCATCCTTGTATCTCCTGCACCTAGTAGAGAGCCCATCTCACATCCGTTGAACAAATTTCATTGAGTGATACCCAAAGGCACAGAGTTAAGACTCTGGAACCTTTCCCAATGGCATGCCCTGGTCATGACAAATGAATGAATGAATCACGAGTTTCAAGCTTACCTAATGCTTCCCAAATGCCATGATGAATGGTCAAGCTGAATCTTGGCTCCTCTCTGTTAATCCAATTTCCCAGGATATTTATTGACAGCCATCTGTGAGGAAATGAGCAGTTTCTCTACATCCTGGCCGTGGTTTCACCACTTCCTCTTTGCTTGGCATGCTCCTCTCGTTCATGAAGGGGAATTGTACAGGTTTTACTCTAGGTTGTGAAGAATACTTGAGTGTCCTGATTCTTTTCTCCATTAGTTTTATGAATTTGCCTTTATGTCAGTGGTTGGACAAAGAAAGATAGTAATGGAAAATCAATACACAGTATGAGAAGTGGAAAAGTGACTGGAATATAAATTTTACAGTAAGCTTTATTTCTGCACACTTATACAATCTGAAATTAATTAATAAATTAATTTCTTATTATTATTCACTTAGACCCCTATGTATGCCTTCCTGAGAGCCATGAGATTCTAGACCCCTGTGCCTTATGGAACCATTTGAACAACTTTCTGGGAATGGTCAGCTCTTTGATTCCTGTATAGTCCAACAATTTGCAGAGGTACCCAGCACATGGGAAAAATAATAATTAATGACATCTGTGCAAATATAAGTCATCAAGACAAAAATAAGAGTAAATTCCACACATATTTATTAGGAACTTTTAATAAACCTGACAATAAGACTCTTGACTATAACAATTGGATGAAAGATCTTTAATTCATGTCCTTATAAAAATGGCAAAAGAATATATTAAGAATAAGTAAAAAAAAAATGGGTCTAATAGCATCTGTCACAAGCTGTCAATGCCAAGAAAACACAGCCTTGCTTCTCAGAGTAACTCACTGACCAGCAGCATTATCATAACCCAGAATTTTGTTAGAAAAGTAGAAGTAAGGCCTGCCCCACACTTAACTAAATCAGAATCTGCATGTTGACACAATCCCCAGGAAATCTGCATGCACATTATGTTTGGGAACCTTCTCTAATGAGTATACAATATGTATTGATCACATTCTAATTTCCTCTCATCAAGGAACAATAGAAGAGCTCAACCAGTGTGATTAAAGGAATGATCTCAGTGTGGATCTGTCTTAAATTCTCCTTTGTACTGCCCCTTAAGTCTACTCAGAGGTAGTATTCTCCAAGGCCTTTAATACTAAGGTTTAGTCTTTCCTTGTGCATACACTTAAATTACAACTTTTATGAACTCAGTTTCCTCTCAATAAGGCTGGAAATGTAGTCTAAAGCAATGCAATCCAAAGTGAGGTCAGAACACTGGGGACCCATCTGCACATTGTTACTAGTCTGCAGCAAAATGAGGACCTGGAAGAATGTGCATGCTGAAATAAGGAGCATATACTGAAATGTTCCCTATGTCAGTATATCTTTTTTTTTCCTATGGTGCTGGGGATTGAATCTTGTGCATGCAAGGCAAGCACTCTACCAACTGAGCTATATCCACAGCCCATTACATGTATTCTTAATGTGCCTTATCACTAGGCACATTCTTAATTTCTGCTATTTTTTTCCCATGTAAAACTGTTTCAAAGAAGGAAGCCATGTGTTGATTACCACTGAGGCACAAGCTTATTCCCTCCTCATGGACAAGAACTTGAGTAGCATAAAGAGATTAAATTAAGAAATCCTCCCTAATTAATTAATAAATTGATTAAAAAATAATCTTTTTAGATTATTAAAAAATTAATAATTTTGCATACTCTATAATATCTATTGTGTTCACAGCTCAAATCTTAGTACCTGGCATAGATGTGACCTTCAATTTCAGTTCAATAAATAAAATACCTAGTTCAACTCTTTTGTTGAATTCCTTTCTTTTCTTTTGGCTGAGATTTCTGGGCTTCCTGATATAGTTGGCTTCACTAATGGGTCTTTAACAATAGTGAGAGTAGGGAGCAATCACACAAGAACTGGGAAAGATGAGGAAGATTTTACAGAGGGTACAAACTGAATCCAGAATTTGTTGGAAGATTAGAGATTCTAGATAAGAAATACAGTATGCACAAAATCTAGGAGATAGGCAAGCACATGTTGTTTCAAGAAACAAGTACCTGGTGTCAGGCCCCAAAGGCTTGTGCAATGGTGCATTTGGAGAAAAGTAGAGAAAATGATGGATGAATCAGATGTTCACTTAAAAACTGTCTTTATTCTAAACCTATTGCTTAGAAATCAAACTTATCCTTTCCATTAAACAATATCCATAATGAAAGCAGTACTAAAGTTATCATTTGTCCATTTCCTATGCACACATAAACACAAAATAAATATTTTATTAAAAGTTGAAAAATTGTAATCGTTTTAAAAGCTTCAAGAGTAAGATCTTGCAAAGCCTTTAACACATTTCTACATGTAAAATTTAGAGCATTTGCTAATACATATTAAATATTAAACCATCTTTCAAGTTAGAGTACACAAAAGATCAAAATAGATGTAATTTACAAGGAAAAAAGGTGAGTTTGAAAGACAAATAAACACAGATTAGCTTTATTTTTTAGCAGATATTCATGTTCTAATTGAGAAAAGGCTTCTTTTCCTTTGTCAGTGCCAACAATTTCATTTATCCTTTTTAAGATGCTCCAGTAATGATGAAAAGAGAACTTAATTGATGTTACATTATTTTTCAGACTCGGGAGTTTGGAACAATGTAGCAGTGAAGCTGTCCATTAAAAATGGCACTTACAAACTGACAAAAAAAAAAAAAAGAGTATGTGCCAGCAGATAGAGCAATTCAGATTACTTTCCTGATTTTTTAAGATTTGTGGAAATGATTATTCTTTACGTATGAGGAGTGTAGCCAAATATTTGACAGAAGCTCAAACAAAATTATTTTTTTTCCCAATAGTTCAGTAAACTTCAGACCATTTAAGCCACAGAATAAATAGTAGTGACCTCGAAGTCTGACCTATGGAAATTTTTTTCTTCTAATTAGCAAACTGACTACTATAAAATAATTACTTGATGCATCATATTTATTTAATGCACTTTGAGAGAATAACATTTAAGTAGGCACTGTGCTCATGAGAGAGAACAGAAGAAAAATAGAGGTAATTTGTTCTTTTTTGAGAAAAGAAAAGCAATTCAATATTGAGTGGAATTTATTAAGATTAATAGATCCGCAGCAAAGCAATCATTTATGGAATCAATTGAGTCGGTTACGTAGAGCACATTTCCCCCTCTGGCTCACACTGTTCGTCCTGTGTGCCTTTCTAATTTTTAAGTTTGATATAGTCAGTTTCCTGCTTATAAACTGAGAGTGATCTTTTCCTAACCTTTGGGACCATGCCCCAATTCCTTAGCTTGTCGTGAGAAACTGCAGATCCAGTTTCTGCCCAATTATCCAACCTTGTCCAACTCTCATACTTTCCACCTCACACCTCACCCTCTTTCCCATTGCAACACCAGTGTCTAGGTGCAACCCACCTCTGCACATGGGGTCAGGATTCTCCTACTGCCTGGAATAGGATCACCGGGTCACACCCTGGGAGACAGCCTGGGTGTGGTTACAGAAACCCAGCTCATCTCAGCATCATTTCCTTCCCATCTGGCCATTTTTCCTGACCAACCCATACCACTGCTGAATGGATCCTTAAGATTTAAATTCTCTTCTTTTTGAAGTAATTAAATGAAAGAGTCTATGAAAATTATTTAGCACATGTCTGAAAGTAGTAATTGTCATTATATTATGTTATTATAGTAACCCTAAACTGAGAGATAGTATAATATGGTATTTAGATGAGTACCACCTGGAG